CTTTTTCAGAAGATTTATCGAAGAGAGAACCTCACTTCAAACTCTAAGGGTCTGTTTGGTTCAAATGAGGGGGAGGGGAGGGGAGGGATTTTAATGAAGGGGAGGGGAGGGGAGGGGAGGTGAAGGAATTTTTTAATCAAATAAGTGTTTGGTTCAAAAGAGAGGAGGGGAGGGGAGGGGAGGGATTTTAATTAAAAACGTGTTTGGTTCAGAAGGGGAGGGGAGGGGTTTTATTAATAATTTACAGTTTTATCCTTATGATCTTATATAAGTCATACGATATTAAAATGTGAAAAATTTGTGCATATTTTTGTTGGTAATAAAATTTCTAATATTGAGTGATTAAAAAAATATTTATTTGTCACATAAAGTTAAAAAATTGAGTATAATTGATTCGACTTATAACTTTCCAACATAAATTAAACTATATGCCAATAACACCGTTTAAATTATGATGAATCATATAACAAAACAAATATATAAAATAACTTATTACTAAATATTAATGGTTCAAAATATTTAATAAAATGAATAAACAAAAATAAATAAAATGATATGGTTTACAATTTGATATAAAAGAAAATATGATAGAGTACATAACAAAATTAAAAGAAAAAAACGAATATAACAAAACATAATTTTTTTATAAAAAAAAGACAATGATTATGATTTATATTAATTATAAAAATTATAAAATAATTTGAAGGTGGAGAACAATTATAATAATTTGATGAAAACAATCGAGAAAAAACAGTAACACAATAGATAACAAATAGTTTTGAAATAATAAAATTAAACTGAGGATATTTTAGTAAATATAATAAATTTTAAATATTAAAACTCATATTCCCTCCCCTCCCCTCCAAATCCCCCCAATTCGGAGGGAACCAAAAAATGTGTTTTGGAGGGATTTTGCTTCCCTCCCCTCCCCTCCCCTCCCCTCCTAAAATTTGAACCAAACATATTTAATTAAAAATTTCCCCTCCCCTCCCCTCCACTCCCCTCCATCTACCCCGAACCAAACACACCCTAAGTTCTGCATCCAAGGTTTGAAAACTTGATAATAATATTTCAACCTTCTTTAATATCCTTCATCTTGAAGTCTTCATACTTCAGATTCAAAACACGAGCAATTATTTCCTTGACCAAAAGGAGTTCTTAATGAGTTATCCTAAGAAAGTCAAATAGACATAGCAGCCTGGTTTTGAAAACATCTCAAACTCAGTAAGAATTAACTTTTAGCAAACAAGGAACGTCTTTCTTTTTTATGATTCTTTTCATCTTTTTCCAACTGGTCATTCAGATTTTCTTTCAACCTTTTACCGACTTCATCTGAGGAAGATATGTAGTTATCACTACCATATTCAATTGATCAGTATCACCTCTTAGGAAGAACTTTCTAGTTCAGCTTTCCAGTACTCAACATTTTCACCAACAATGGTGGAAGATGAAAACTGAGAGTATTTGAGACTTGGAACAATAGGTGATGGAGTGAAAATCGTCATGGTGTTTCTCAAAGCTCGTCTAGATCTTTATCTGACATAGTTAAGTGTTTGATAAACATCAATAACAAAACTGAAGCTCTGATACCAATTAAAGGGGTGAAAAATACAAGAAAGGGGGGCGGTTGAATTGGGTTTCACCAACTATGAATTTGTGTGTGGGATTTAAAATAATGCTAAAAAGAGAAATAAAAATAAATAGACACATTATTTTCATCTTGACTCACTGTTAAAAAAATTACTCTAGTCCATCCACCAAGGTGATTTCGCCTTAGACAAGGACTTAATCCAACAATCTCAACAAATTACAACCTCTAAGTGTTAGAAAACAACTTAGCCCTCTCAAGTATCCACACTAACGACTTAGTCACTTGAGGAATCTACACTTTGAAAAGTGTTTACAAAGGCGTGTACATGAATTGCTTCTAAACAAGTAGGTGACACAATTGAAGTACAATAGCATATAAGTGTTCTTAGCAAGATATGAGCAACAACTTCTTGCTAAATTACAAAACTATCTTAAGAATAATCTCCCAGATATTTTCATAGTATCAACATAAGTTTTGTGAGCTTAAAAGCTTCTTTTAATGCTTCTCTCATTTCTTGTAGAGCAGCGCTCTAATTTATTGAGCATTGAACATCTTCTTCTTGAGCTTACAACTTGGTGCTTGCTTATGCCTTGCACACATACTTTCATGTTTTCTTCAGCTCTTTTACTTCTTGTTCTAGTTACTCTCTTTTTATTTTCTTTTCTGCTCTTGCAGCATTTTACACTTTGGAATTTAATATTTTCACTCGGCTTGCAGCAACAGCTACACTATCATTTGTTCTGTGCTCTTCCACTTGCCAGTTTCTTCAAGCATTCAGATCTTCAATATATATAGTGTGAGAATAAATCCATTGGAGGGTATAATAGGAAATATATTCCAGTTGTAATATCTCAACACTCACTTATAGGAATGGTCACATCATGATACAAAAAGCTGTCCTTGCGCCACCTAATCTGGGTAGAGGTCACATACTACTTTGTACTATTATTATTCATTAAAACACACAAAATATTCTTTTGTCTTCTAATCTTCAGAGGCTTCAAATGTGTATTTGATGAAGCATGTAGAGAGATCAATATTTATAACTTCAGAACCTAAGTCTTCAGAATCTCAGATCTTCGTTCAACAGAACTAACTTAAGAGTCTTTAGCACTTGGTTTTTTTAGAGCTGATATCTTCAGAGACTTCAGAACTTGTTCAGCAGAACCTCGTCTTTAGAATCTTCAGAACTTGTAAAGTGCATATTTGTCTTTAGAGTCTTCAGAACTTTGTTCAACATAACCTTGTCTTCAGAAAATTCAGATCTTGATCTTTAGAAATGATGTCTTTGGAATCTTCAGAACTTCGTTCAACAGAACCTTGTCTTCAGAAACTTCAGAGCTTGATCTTTAGAAATGGTGTCTTTAGAATCTTCAGAACTTCGTTCAATAGAACCTTGTCTTCAGAAACTTCAGAACAATAGCAATAGAAGCATATCTCTAAGAAAGATTTCAAGGTTTGCTTACAGAGTCACAATCAGAAGCTTTGATACACACGTTCTTCAGAACTATTGTATAGAAAACATTTCAGAATAATGACTTTAAATCTTGTACGCAACATATGTTTTCTTCCAGAGTGTTTAGATTAGACTTTGATGACGTCACACGCTTTTCTATCAGACTTAGGTCTAGTTTAGCAACAACTACACACTAGACAGAAACCATAAAGTACTGAATTTTTCTCTAAGATAACATGTGCAATTATCATCAAAACTTAAGGCCAAATGCATAACCACTATTGTTCTTACACGAAATCCATTATCTCCTACCTTATGGAGACAAACGAAAGATTGTGAAGCTCAAGTATCGTTCACATTCGGTTGACAACGAAAGGAATATTGTGTTCAGTGAATTTGAGCCCAATACTCGAGCAGATGTTAAGGCTACGTGAGATACGTATTTTGATTTCGAAGAGAAAGTTTCGCTCGAGTTGGAAGCGATGCTATAAAGATCGGTTGGAGATATCTGAAAGATGTGCAAGCGTCCACCAGGATATTGAAATGTAATACTGAATTTTCTGTTGAAATCATCATTGTAATGATCATTTTATGTTATGGATATCAAATGCATTTTGGAAAGTTCATTTTCTGTTGAATCTTTTTCTGGTGTTTTTCTGAAGATGTAACTACACACTTTTTCTAGAGATGTATTTCCGAAACAAATTAAAGTTAATATATATGACGCCTCTTAAAATTACTTTTGCTGAATGTACTATAAATACGTCCGGAGATATATCTTTAAAATCAAAAATATATTTAAAAATTTAAATAATACGGTACAAGTATATAGGGTGTAATAAGAAATTCTCTTATAAATCATTGCATCTCTTTAAAAAGTTGAATTAAATGTTTAAGATATGAAAGCATCTCCTATTTGTGTCACAATATATATATATATATAGTTGCTTTCACCCTAGTTTAACTCTTAATAAAAGTGCTGCTGACTATGAGTTTCTTACTAGCTAGTTACTAGTTAGTGTTGTGGACACATCAATAGCCGAAAAGCTAAGAACTTGTTTGCATTCAACGAATCACTAAACTTCAAAGGAATAGTTCACAATTCCTACTTACTAGAAAAACAGTGTTCTTTTTGACATTTCATCTCTCAGTCTACTAAACTCTCGTGGTCCCAATTCAACTTTATCCAAGAATCTACTTATCCTAATGCTGGAAAAGTAACAAAGATGACTTTTTTTGGTTGCTTTTTTACTTGATCAAATGAAAGATTGCAAAATACTAGTTCAGTCACGTAACTATAACTAAAGAAAAACGACAAACGCAAATAATTGCGGGATCTGAGGATGATGATCAAAGACAAAAGAAACAATAGTGGTCTAATAATGAAACTTAAAGAATAAAGTAAGCAAAAGTTATATAATAATTTAGAAAAAGAGTCTTCCTTTTATATTCCAATTTCATTTTTCCTTACTACACATTTGGTAAGCCATAGACAAACAATACTTTTTCTAATATAAAAACTAGCACATAAAATCCCTTTGTTTTTCTCATATGCTAAATAGTACTAATAAACAATAAACAATGCTCAATAGAAGAGATTTCATTGACTCTTCTCACATTTGTTTCCCTTGTTTTCCTCTCTTGTGTTTCTCATATTTTTCTACTAGTACTCCTTTTTCTCTGTCCTTGAAAATTGTATTGGGTGCGCGCGGGGCTAGAATTCTGAGAACATGAGTCAATCGGTTGAATTTTCTGAAATTTCAAAATTTTTGAAAATTTGAAAAATCTTCATTGATCTTTTAGGATATTAGGTGATGATTTTTGGTCTTCCGTCCCGGAAAATCCACATCTTTGCTATAATAATAGCACAATCCATACCGGTCATTAAGAATGGTCGCATACTCCCAAAGAAAAATTCAAAAGAGATGGTCATTTGCTATATGTTTACATGTCTTACAAACCAAGTAATATGTAATAGATTAGTGTAATCGGTAGTGCTATCAACATTCCAAATATAACCCTGCAAATAAATTAATGTAGTTTCTTAATAGAAAGAGTGCTAAGAATATAGATACATTAAAACGAAGTTTATTTAAGGATTTAATGACTTACCCAGTACTAAGAATGGCTGGATGAACATTGTATTCTTTCGCAAACACAAACGGAACAATCCCTTGAGGAAGAGCAGCCTATTTTCAACAATTAAATTTTCATAAGCTAAACATCTAAATTTTTTATGATTAATATTTACAATACGATAATAATCCAAATTATTCGTATAAATACCTGAACAATAGCTACGCGCAAAAGGTTGCCACGCAGGCCAACGGCAATGGAAGCCGCTGCCATAACTGCGGGACCGGTAAGAAACCGAACAGCCATAGCAAATGAAGCAACCGAGTTCCCACATGCAATCATCTTAGGTTGTAGAGCCATAAACAAACCTATCCACATGTCAAACAAAAACAGTTACATTACATCCTCCATTTTTACCAAAAATGGAACAAGATCAAAAAGGCATCCATCCACAACTCACATTCACATTATCATGATTAGAAAATTCTTTACAATTTCATTTCATGTGTGAAACTATACATGTATATGATGTATAGTATTGCCTCATTAGTGAAATTCGACCTTTACCAAATTTTGGTCCCAAAATTGAACCGGTCCCTATGATGAAACCCCACATGTCGGGAACATTGCACTGTCACAACGCAATTACAATCCCCACGTTATCGTTTACAAACATGTTCACTTGGCTATGTTACATTGTAACAAACTCCAAAATAATGAACGGTCATAACTAGTTTCCTTCCTTTTCCTTTCCCCAAATCCATAATTCCCATACATAGTAGACTCATCATACCATGTTACTATCTACCTCATTCATCGTTTTGTGATAATTGTTATGTTTTTTCAATATTAAAAAAAAATACAACCGTCTCTATTTTATTGGCTTTATTAGATAGATACACTGAAATGGGAATGGATCATGTAATAATGGTGTTTAAGGTAAAAGGGGAAAGAAAGGAAAAGAATGAAATTATTGTAGGAGTAGGAATTTGGAGAAAATTGTGACTACTCACCTAAACTGAACATAGCCATTCCAAGACCAGCATCAGACAGTATGGAGATTGATTTCTCTATTATTTTGGGCATATGCACATGCCACCTGCAATCAAAATTAATAATCATCAAACCAACCTTAAATTAACACCATTAATGTAGCATTACTAAATTTTGTGGTTAATTAGTTATAATTTGAGTTTGATTTACCTAAAGGCTACTAGGGACCAAATGACACCAATGAGGCTGGAATATGTGTTTGGGTTGCGGATTAGCTTCCGCCAAACCATGATCAATATGAGACGAGTCATAACGCTGGCCGGAGGCATGTGTTTTGCTGTGGTGGCACCGGCGTTTGTCGGGTGTAGCTCTGTCGTTGAGGTTGATCCTAGCTTGTTTAGCCCGGCCGGGTCTTCTTTTTCTCGGCGATCTTCTTCCAGACGGAGTTCTTCTTCTTTTACCGGAAATTTCAACTCTTCTCCTCCAAACTCTGTTTCAGTCATAGCTTCATTTTCAACTAAAAAATCAACAGACCAAAATCAATTTAATGTATCATAAAATCATCAATTTACTCAGCAGAACTAATATACCTTTATTCGTGACCCCATTTGGAGGATGGTCATCAGGAACCAACATTCTAATCTCCTTAGCACCTTGTTCGGAGCGTCCAGATTGGTCGGACACTCCGTAATCAGCGGCTCCACTGCCGAAGACTTGAAGCCCGCTAGCTTCGGAAACCGGAGAGGCACTAGAGCTCCACACAAACATGTGAAGCTCTTTTGCATCATGGCTTGTTTTAGCAGCAGTACCATTGTTAGTAACCGTTTGTGGTTGTGCCTGAACCAATTGTTGTGACTGTTGAGAAAACTGTTGCTGCGAGTTTTTGCTAATACTCTTGCTCAACCCAGAAGAGAATTCTGGGTTCGGAGCCGGGTAAGTCACAGGTACATTCTGTGCCGGATAAAATCCAAATTTCGGAGAGCTCACCACTAGTGCCGATGCTGCTGATGCTGTTGGCGCTGGTGTTGTATTATCTTCAAAATTAGACGGTCTCGGAGTAGGGCCGCGTGAAGTCGATTGAACGGAATACACATCCGCAGCACCAAAATTAGAATGTCTCGGCGCATAACCCATCATGGAGTAGAAATCCGCGTGGTTAAAATTAGACCCTCGCGGCGTGGCGTTCCTAGAAGAACTCAAACTATAAATCTCAGCTCCGGTGAGATTCGACGGCCGTGGAGTCATCATAAAAGATCTCCTGGAAGCATTTGATTTCCTGACAGTAACATGAAGCTTCCCGTCATCACCAACTTCAGCATCCGTCTCAAGAAAATCCCTTCCGTCCAGCGAAACAACATCGGAATCAACCTTAAACGAAACAATAGAAGCAGCAGTTTCAGGAAACTGTTCCATGATGAGAAGCTTCGCGCCACGGTACTCAAAAAGGAACAAAAGAAGAGTATACCAAATGATACACTGAAGAACCACCACCTGAACCATAAGCTTGCCGGAATATTCGCCGTACATGGCAATAAGAAGCGGAATTCCCATAACCAAAGTGTTGGGCAATGTGGAAAGAGAGAAGATTGTGATCATCCACTCCAAACTTCCGTTCACGGAGAAGTTAGTCCATATAGTAAGTGCGAAGAGCATGATGATTTTCTGAAGCGTATCCGCGGCGATGAAGCGGAAATTCATAGCGTAAGGGTCGTTTGTGGAGATGAAATGGAAGGAAAGAAGTGGTACTGCGAAGATAGCAACGAAACGGTTTATGCCGGAACATTGGTCCGGTGAGAATATTTTCCACCACCGTACGGAGCCGTAGGCTAAGATCATGGCGACGTAGAGTGGAATCACGGCGGTTAAAACTGTGTAGAGATCGTGCCAGGTTATCATGGTGTTTGGAAATGGCGGTGGAGGCGGAGAAGTTAGAAGGGTAAAATGGGAATAAAATGGAAGAAGATAAAAACCGTTAGTTAACTAAACTAATGAAACTGGTGACTGGTCTGGGAGAGGGTGTACTTTCGTTGTTGTTGAGGTTTTATAGTCTGCTCTGCAGAACTGCTGTGTTTCAGATTTTGATGATGAAGCGACTGAACTGAGTGAGAGAGAGAGGGAGTGTCTTTGTAAGAGAGAGAGAGTGGGAATTTACAAAGGAAAATAGAAGTAACTTCTAGGGTAGAGAATATAGGTCTAGGAAAAAACGGAAAAGATGGTTACATATATAGTAATATTTGTAGGGGGTAGAGGTGGATAAAATGATTTTTGAACACATGTGATAATTTTCTCTATTAAACTATTATATAATTCATCAATTTAATTATTTATTCAATTCATCTATGATGCATTGTTTATTTATAGTATCACTACATAAATTTATTGTTTAATTATTTTAAATTTATTATATGATATAATAGAATGATACATTTCTATTGAATAATAGTGTAAAATATTTTTACAGTGTCACTACATAACAATTAAACTCTTTATCTATTATATAAACTAATGAGATAGGATCTTGTACACATTTGTTTAGAATATTTAATCAAAATAAATTAAAAATAAACTATTAATATTATTTAACATAACAAATAAAAACTTAGGAATTGTTATAATAAAAAAAACATAAATGAAAATTAATTAAAAACTTAATTGCAACTATGGTCTCCCTATTTTGTATTTTTTTGGATTTTGGTTCCCCCATTTTAAAAACCATGATTTTAGTTCATTTTTTAAGTTGTGAGTTTGATTTCAGTTCCTTATCTAATTTTAAATTTTTTTTAATGATGTGACACTATCTAAGATGACTTATCTAATGTCAGGTCATTTTAAAAAAAATTAACTTAAGACTTTTTTTTATTGACTAAGATAATTAGTTTATTAATATTATTTTAATTAATTAATTAATGATTAATATTTTATTATTAATTTTTATAATTAATTAATTAATCAAAATTTTAAATGAAATTCTTTGGGCCTTTAGTTATTGGTCCATGTCTTTGATCCATCTTTCTAACCCACAATTGAATTGTTGTGTTTGTTTCAGCTTTATAAACATTTTTATATCTTATACAAAAATCAACGTGGAACTTCTAAAAGACATTTTATACTTACTCTTTTTATTATAAATTCATAGTATATGGAAAGAGCATGGCTAAAATACTACTATGTGAGATACATAATATTTGGTTTAAACAAGCTAAACACAATATTAATAGGAAGTTCACTTGACACAATAATATAATAGTTAATAATGACTACAAAACCCTAATCACTTATTGACAACAATATTTACTTGTAGTAAGTAATTCTCCAGTAGGTTGCCTGCCTCAGTAATACAGCAAAAAATGCCAAAGAATCTAAAGACTTCTTTGGCTTAATGTTGTGTAGTAAACTGTCTGTTTGGTGTTATGTTTATGTAGTCATCATTAACTGAGGCTTAAGAAAGGATACAAAAGAAACAATACAAAAGCTGATGGAGCCAAATAGAGGTTCTAGTAACAATACAAAAGATGATGGAGCCAAATATAGGTTCTAGTAACAACTAGACTTCAAGGAAGGATAGGTGACAACTGAGGTAGAGACATTGGTGACAACCAAGGATCAGAAAGATGGAGGACGCCAGCGACCACCGAACTTAACAAACAAGATGCTGGCAATAACCAAAGATCTGAAAGCATGTTAAATGCACATGATATGGCATGCTGCTAATAATTAATGATATGCAAGAGCTGACTCTAACAAGAGACAAGGAATCTAGAGACTAAAAAGGGGAAGATAGATAAACAATGCACTTCACTGGGAAATAAGGAATTACACTGAATTTCAAGGAAAAAGGTGTCCAAAAGTTTGCTGGGTAATAAACCCACTCCACTTGGGGAAATATAAATCTCAAACCGATCTTGCTGGAAATGGAAGTGTAACTTTAGTAGAGACACCAGATGACTCCACCAAGGATGAATCTTTACACTATCAAAAATCATATCTCATAGAGAATACTGGGGAGACTGTCTTCAATCTTGGTAACAACACACGACCGAAGGAACAACCCAATAAATAAAGTCAACTGGTGTTTCAATGGGGAAACATGCTGAGATAGCACATCAAAGCTTCTGCCACCTTAAGACATGCTGAGGTAGCACATCAAAGTCAACTTTATGTTTTGTTAAGTTTTTAAAAACTTTTTTTAAATTCGAAACTTTTTGCTTTCAAAAATTATTATTAACAAATAAACGATGTTTTCATAACAAAGAAAAGTAGGGAAAATAGTAAATTGCAAACAATTGAATGGTCCAAAATCTAATTTTATTCAAGAATGGTAACTTGCGGACGACAAAAGCTTCATAGAACATTTACAATTGAAAATGGAAAAAGGGAAAATGTTACATTGAATCCAATGACAATCTAGCCCTACTAACTAAGAGTTCTCCAAAACCTCGCTTTTAACAAGAGCGGTTGAAATGAACTTCTCGTGTAATCTTCTGCAGAGGTGACGACCATCTGATGCAGTGAAATGCCTTTGCCCCTAAATTTTTCCTGGACCACCCTTTCGGGTTTTCAATCCACCGGGACGCTCATTTTTGCCTAAGCCGCCCTTTCGGGTTTTCAACTTAGTGATCTCTTCTCTTTTCATTTTATCCCTATATTTTTCTTGGATCTCCTTCATAGGTTATGATCCACCGGGATACCCATTTTTGCTTAAGCTACCCTTTCAGGTGTTCGACTTATTAGGTTCTTTAGGCATAATATTTTTGTACTACATCAGAATTCACCGGGTGAGTAAGTTGTTCCCCATCCATCATTGTGAGAATTAACGAGCCTCCTGAGAAGATTGTTTTCACAACAAATGGGCCATCATAATTAGGTATCCACTTCCCACGCATGTCCTTATGAACTGGAAAGATCTTTTTGAGTACAAGTTCCCCTTCTTGGAATTCTCGGACACGAACCTTCTTGTCAAAAGTTCTCTTGATCCTCTTTTGATACAACTGACTGTGACACATCCCAGTCATGCGCTTCTTATCAATGAGGTTTAGTTGATCAAATATTTCTCTAACCCATTCCGCTTCATTAAGTTTGGTTTCCATTAGGACCCTTAGAGACGGTATCTCAACTTCAATGGGAAGAACTGCATCCATCCTATATACCAATGAAAAAGGGGTTACCCCTGTCAAAGTGAAAACAGACGTTCTATATCCATGCAAGACAAATGGCAACATCTCATGCCAATCCTTGTAAGTCTTCACCATTTTTTGGAAAACTTCTTGATGTTCTTGTTTGTAGTTTCGAGGGCTCCATTCATCTTCGGACGATAGGTAGAAGAGTTTCAATGTTTAATCTTAAAGGTATCGCACAACTCTTTCATAGTTTTATTGTTCAAATTGGTCCCATTATCTGTTATGATTCGGCTCAAAATTCCATAATGACAAATAATCTCCTTTTTTATGAAGCGGACAACCACTTGCTTAGTTACATTGGCATAAGACGCAACTTCAACCCACTTCGTGAAGTAGCCAATAGCAACAAGGATGAACTGGTGTTCATTAGAAGCCTTTGGATCGACTTCCCCAATCATGTCGATGCCCCACATAGAAAATGGCCAATGGGATGACAACACATTTAGCAATGTTAAAGGTACATGCATCTTGTCTGCATAAATCTAACACTTGTGGCATTTCCTGACATTTTGGTTGCAATCGATTTCCATAGTCAACCAGTAGTAACCAGCTCTTAGAATATTTTTTGACATGGTATATCCGTTGGCATGGGTGCCAAATGTTCCTTCATGCATATCTTGCATTAACAAGTCCGCTTCTCGTTTGTCGCACACCTAAGCAAGACCATGTCATGATTTCTTTTATAAAGAACATTATTATTGAGAAAGAACTTGGATGCCAACCTCCTCAAAGTTTTCTTGTCAAGAGATGTAGCGCTAGCTGGATACTCTTGGCTCTTCAGATCATTCTTGATATCATGAAACCACGGTCTCCCATCTGTTTCTTCTTCCACCATCTGACAATAAACAAGCTCGGTCTTCCTTTCAATTCAAATAAACGGTGCTTCATTAAAAAATATGACCTTCCACATTGAAGCTAGCATATCCAATGCATCAGTGATGTGATTCTCAACCCTCGGGACATGTTTGAAAGTGATCTCATCAAAGTACTCGATCATTTCCACAATGTAAGCTTTGTATGGGATTAACTTCTCGTCTCGGGTCTCCCACTCACCTTTGACCAGATAAATCACCAAGGTTGAATCACCACTTAACTCAAGAATGTTGATGCAAAGTTCAATTGTTGCTTTAAGGCCCAAGATGCAAGCTTCGTACTCAACCATATTATTGGTACACTCAAAGCATAACCTGGCTGTGAACAGAGTGTAACCACCATTTTGATTCATCAAAATGGCACCTATGCCACTCCCATTGTAGTTAAAGGAACCATTGAACATCATCTTCCACCGGGAACCGGGCTCGGGACCTTCATCCAGACCTGGATCTTCCTAACCCTTCTTTATCAACATAATATCTTCATCGGGGAAGTCAAACTTCAGAGGTTCATAATCTTCTACCGGATGATCTGCAAGGTAATTTAACAAGATGCTACCTTTGATAGACTTCTGAGCAACGTACTGGATGTCATATTCTGATAATAAAATACGCCAACAAGCAAGTCTTTTTGTCTGAGCAGGATTCTCAAAAATATACTTTATCGGATCCATTTTCAAGATCAACAAAGTAGTATGACAGATCATGTATTGCCTCAGAATTTTGGTAGCCCATGCCAAAACACATCAAATATTCTCTAAAAGTGAATATCGACTTTCACAATCATTGAACTTCTTGCTCAAATAATAGATGACGTGCTCTTTGCGTCCAGACTTGTCGTGTTGGC